AAACTAGAAGCACTCGGAGAGCGCAAACCTCCACCAAGGCCAACGTCCCTTATCCTGTAAAAGTGAAGAATCCTAAAAAATCCCTGGATCCAGATCATGATCTGGGTCATCACCAACATTTAACGGTGTGTTCCTTTGGCCAACACCCACCTGTGGTAAACATTTCATGAACGTCTGTCCATAAGTTGTTGAGTCATTTTGTCGACAGACCAACACGACTGAAAACAGCCTGCTTGGCAGACGTAACAAAAGTTTACGGGTTGATCTTTACCCGTCAGTGAGGCTGATTTATAAACAGTGGCTAATCTTTATTAACAAGTTAAATAATATAAACCAGTTGTCAGGAGGGATGTTTGTAGAGATGTGCTGAAACACTGAGTGTTAAATAAGCAATTATTGTTCAATCCTGCTGTAATTAAATTAATATAAAAATAAAGTAAGAAGGTTTAACAAAAATAAAACATTTGATTTATTATGATCAAATGAAAAGTGAGTAAGAAAAGTACAAGTTTTACTAAGTTCAACCTGCTCCTTTTCATACAGATAGCTTTGTGACTTAGTGTATTTWTATTAACATTTTTGTTGTTTTATGTTATAAATATTTATTGTATTTTATTCTTAGTATAGATGATATGGATTATTCTTATTCTGAGTAACGCATTTATGAAGCATTATTAAATACTTAATAAACTTGTCCTAATTGGGAAATAATAAATTTTCATTGATGGTCATGAATAAATACTATATTATTATTATTATTATTATTATTATTATTATTATTATTATTATTATTATTATTATTATTATTATTATTATTATTATTATTGAAGCTAATAAAGTGATGGACTTGATGTAAAGAACTAGAGTTGTGTCAAAGATCAGAGCAGCAAAAGATATAAATGTTACTGTAACTTCTGATGCTTTTATTCAGCAGCATCAGCAGAACTCCTCTTCCTCTTCCTCTTCCTCTTCATCTTCATCTTCATCTCCTTCTAATCAGATTAGATCCATACAAAGAAACACAGGACTCCCTGCGGCTGCTCAGTCTGGTCTAGTTTCAGAGGAAATGTGTGTGTGTGTGTGTGTGTGTGTGTGTGTGTGTGTGTGTGTGTGTGTCTGCATATTTCCATGTGTAATGACAGTCTATGTTTCTGCCCCAGAGAAAACGACAGAGACGGAGAAGAAGGTAGAAGAGATGCGGAGCCGAGGATCTCCCATCATCCTCAGCCTCATCAGAAGTCCGCCCACGTGGAGGCAGAGTGTTCCACTTCCACTTCTCGCATATTAAACGCATGAAGACAYGAGCGCAACAAGACTCCAGAGGCAAAACATCACCAGCACTGGCACACRGCTCTGGGAACGTGGAGTTTTAATTTTAGTTTGAAATCAGGTCTGACGTGTGTCAGATGAACAGTAGGAACAGGTTGTCTCCATTCCACAGGAAAAGATCACATGAAGAGATCCCTGCAGCAGGAACTCAAACATGTTTTATGATTCATTTTAGGAACATAATGACTGTTTTTAACTACATTTTAAAAGTCGAAGAATTGTTAAGAAAACATCAGGAGCAACAGCCCAAAACATCTTAATCCAATCGCCCCGATGTTAATGACAACAAGAACAAACCAGTTTGTGATGGACTGGTCCTCCTGACCAGAGTCTAACCTGACCTTTATACAACCAAACAAGACCTCCTCCTCACAACCCTGAACAAGAACCAGCAGGATGGATGGAAGATGTAATCACCAATCTGTCCACCAATCTGTCCATCAATCTGTCCACCAAACTGTCCACCAATCTGTCCACCAAACAGTCCACCAATCTGTCCACCAAACAGTCCACCAATCTGTCCACCAAACAGTCCACCAATCTGTCCACCAAACTGTCCACCAATCTGTCCATCAAACTGTCTTATCAAACTGTCCATCAAACTGTCCACCAATCTGTCCATCAAACTGTCCATCAATCTGTCCACCAAACAGTCCACCAATCTGTCCACCAAACAGTCCACCAATCTGTCCACCAAACTGTCCACCAATCTGTCCATCAAACTGTCCATCAAACTGTCTATCAAACTGTCCATCAAACTGTCCACCAATCTGTCCATCAAACTGTCCACCAAACTGTCCATCAATCTGTCCACCAAACAGTCCACCAATCTGTCCACCAAACAGTCCACCAATCTGTCCACCAAACTGTCCACCAATCTGTCCATCAAACTGTCCATCAAACTGTCCATCAATCTGTCCATCAAACTGTCCACCAATCTGTCCACCAATCTGTCCACCAAACTGTCCACCAATCTGTCCATCAAACTGTCCATCAAACTGTCCATCAATCTGTCCATCAAACTGTCCACCAATCTGTCCACCAATCTGTCCACCAAACTGTCCACCAATCTGTCCATCAAACTTTCCATCAAACTGTCCATCAATCTGTCCATCAAACTGTCCACCAATCTGTCCACCAATCTGTCCACCAAACTGTCCACCAATCTGTCCATCAAACTTTCCACCAAACTGTCTAAAAAACTGTCCATCAATCTGTCCACCAATCTGTCCATCAATCTGTCCACCAACCTGTCCATCAATCTGTCCACCAATCTGTCCACCAATCTGTCCACCAAACTGTCCATCAAACTGTCCATCAATCTGTCCATCAAACTGTCCACCAAACTGTCCATCAAACTGTCCACCAAACTTTCCATCAATCTGTCCATCAATCTGTCCACCAACCTGTCCACAAAACTGTCCATCAAACTGTCCACCAATCTGTCCATCAATCTGTCCATCAAACTGTCCATCAGTCTTTCCACCAATCTGTCCATCAATCTGTCCATCAATCTGTCCATCAGTCTTTCCACCAATCTGTCCATCAATCTGTCCATCAATCTGTCCAT